ATTTTTACCCAATGTTCCTATATTGTGTCCAATTATTAGTAGTATGAATTAGTAGCACGATTTTACCCAGCGCAGCGCCGCAGCTAGTCTCTTATAAGAGCTCCATTTCCTGCTATCACTTTCACGAGAGTGAAAGCGAAATCGAAAGTGAGTGAACTCTGGGTAGCGAGTCGATGAATTCAACGCGATTTTACGAGGCTGTAGGAATTGGTGCATGATTGACTGCAAATAGTAAAAAGAAAGGTAAATACCATACATAGTTGTAAATACATAACTTGCCATTAGTTTGATCGATGATACTGGTACATAAGTTAATGATTTATCTTCTGTATTTGAGTGTATAATATACTAGAATATAGAATATATAGTAGCAAGCATAAAGCATCACTTTGGCAGTGGCCCTACCAGACTGTACCACAGGCGCTTGAAATCATTTACAAGCAATCTTTGACAATACACTCACTGATTACCTCCGCCAAGGGGTTGGCAGGAGGTTATGTTTTCACCGGCGTGTGTTTGACTGTTGGTTTGTGGGTTTGTGTACAGCCTAACTGAAAAAGTTATGGACGGATTTTCATAAAAATTTCAGGATACGTCAGAAATCGGCTAAATTAGAATTGATTACATTTTGGTGGTGATCCGGATCCAATTAATTAATTAACTAATTAATTAAATAATAAAATTTTCAGGATAGGTCAGAAATGGGGTAACTTAGAATTGATTACATTTTGGTGGTGATCCGGATCCAATTAATTATTTTATTAATTAATTAATAAAATTGTCCACTTAATTAATTAATTACTAAATAAAATTTTTCACAGTGAGAGAATTCAGCGGCCTTGGCGGAGGTCTGTGCTCTCCGAGTGCTCTAGTTAACACTGTACTTAGTGTTAGTCAGTGAGTGTATAATCAGAGTTGCTTGTAAATTACTTCAAGTGCCTGTGGACTGGACGTACACTGCAAACCATAGTCACATGAATTGTAATGCCTTACTCCTATAGTAGTAGCTGCTTAAAGGCATAATAGGCCCATTGATTATCCAATTTTAACAAATGCTAGAGTAACTGGCACCTTGTGTAGTTAATAATTAAGTACATTACCTTATAGCCCAACGCGTATTAGTTTGTCCAATATCACTGCTGGTTACTAAGAAATGTCTAATTGAAATCCG